CAGCCTGGACAAGGACAGCCTCTACATTAATGGTGAATTTTCTATTTTTGGGTGGTTGTTTTTTTTTTTCTTTATTTTTCTCTTTTTCTTTTACTGATACTTTGTTGATAATTTAGGGAATATATCTGTTCCCTTTCGATATCCCTAAGTAAGCAAGTATTTTGTGCACTGCTCTCTAAGGAAAGCAGCAGCCTGCCAACAACATACAGTAGTATGAATGTGCATTTATGCCTAGACATTCATCAAATTAGTCTTCCCTAGTATATATTTACACAGGATCTCTCAGACAAATTAAGTTCTGTATCCTACTGTGTGCTAGACATTTCCAATTGTAAGGCAGTTTCTTAAATACTATCCCTTTTCTTCTCCCCTATAGGATATAATGAGATGCAACCTGGACAATGTAAGTACCCTTAAATATCAATTGAAAGGGCAAGAAGATTTTGTTAGTTAGTAATAGCCAAAAAAAAGAAGGTTAGACTAACTAAGAGCCGAACTATACTTATCAAACAGTGTTAAGGGAATTTAGGAGGCTGTTAGGGATCCGCAGCTGCTATGACCCTGAAGGCAACTACAATACCAGAGGATTTTTCTTAGTGTTTCCTGTAACGATGATCATAAATTGTCTTTTCAAACAATAATTTGCCTTGCTCATTACAGCTATTGAACAAAGTACACAACATCTCTCACCAGCAGTGAGGAACTTCTCATTGAACTTCACTATAACCAACCTCCAGTTCACTGCAGATCTGGCAACGCCAAATTCTAAAAAATTCAAGTCAACAGAAAAAGTCATGTACCATTATGTAAGTCTGGCAAAATGATGCTCTGTTTGGGCACAGTTCTTTTAATATCTCTAATCTCTAACCTTTGTCATGACATTTTACTGAAGTGCTGTTATTAAATTTCTAGGTTGACCCTTTACTCCAAAAAAGCAGCATTGGTCCTGCTTATATTGGCTGCAAAGTAATGGCATTCAGGTAAGGGTCATGTCTGGGAAAAGTCTGCATTACCTCCTTAAGAACTTGTTTGCCATTTCTCAGCTTTCAACACATTATTGTAATGTAACTGAGTGGTTTTCTCATGTGCATCTTTGATCTACTAAAAGTTAAAATGGACTTCTCAATAATGACTAAAACATCTTAAAACAATGCCTCATTTTCTAGGTCAAAGGACAGGGCTAACACAGGAGTAGATGCCATCTGCAGCTACAGAGATGAGCCTCCAGACCCCAAGTTCAGCAGAGTGACAGTTTACCATGAACTGAGCAATATGACAAATGGCATCACCAAGCTGGGACACTACAGCCTTAACAGGCAGAGCCTCTACGTTAATGGTAATGAGACCACCTCAGGGTTATGTTGACACAGACTATTTTGGAATGAGAATGAAGAGGATTAAATACACCTCTCAAAACAGATAACAAAAAGTAGAGGACAAAAAAAATGACAGAATCACTAAGTTGACACAGTCATGAATTTAGTAACCATCATGATGAATATTTTCTAATAAAAAACTGTGTTTAGTCCTGCTGAGATATTCTTGAAATACTTTGCTAAAAATTGTCCATTTCTTTTTTAGATTACAATGAACTTCACAGTCTGTCAAGTAAGTATATTTAAAAACAGAAACATATTAAAGCTACTGAAAGGCATAAGTTGATTTTTGATCCTTAAGGTCTCTTCCAATCTAAACCATTCTATGATTTTGTTTCACCCAATTTGGCAATGCTCGTAAGGTTTCAAAGTATCTGAAGTATGTGATCATGCTCAGGTTTTTCTGCTCTAAACTTAAAGAAAAATAGTAACAATAATGTGTCTTATGAAGATCCTGTTCTTATATTACATGTGTATTTTTTGTTGGCTCTTACAGCGGTGAAACCAACCACCACACAAAGCCCAGGACCAATAATAGCACAATTCATACTGAACTTCACAATAATCAACCTCAGGTTCACAACAGGCCTAGAGACACCAAATTCTGCTAAATTCAATTCGACTAAGAAAATAATGCAACGTTACGTAAGTCACAGTCATGTTTTCACTGAAATCAGCCAGTATTTTGGGTCTTTTGGGTCTCTCATACTCACAAAGATGTTTCCTTGTCAGATTGACCCTCTGCTTCAGAACAGCAGCATTGGCCCCTATTTCACTGGCTGCAAAGTAGTCAGATTCAGGTGAGCTGAAAGATTAACTTTAGCAAATGGATTTCCATATGTTTGACTGACACTTAAGTTACAGTTCCTTTTTCAAGAAGTTGGTATCATTATAATAAAGCTTCTAGGCACTTCTGTATGATCCTTATCTTACGAAGTCTTTTTCTTTGTCATATATCGCAGTAATTTTTGCAGTTCATGTGTGAGAACTGTGGACAGATTTTAATTGGTTTGAGCTTTCTTTAATCACATCAGAAAAAAAAATTTGGAATACCTAACAGAAGCTTTGTGATATTCAATCCACCAGGTCAGTGAGCAACAGGAATAACATAGGAGTAGACACCATCTGCAACTATGGAAATGACTCCCAAGTACCCAAGTTTGACCAAGCTAAGGTTTACCAAGACCTAAGGAGTATGACAAATGGCATCACCAAACTAGGAATATATAATCTGGATAACAAGAGTCTCTATATCAATGGTAAGTGCTTGATTTTCTCATTCCTCCAGGCACCAGAGCAGCTTGGGACTGCCTTGGGCCTTAGGGAGCACCTCAGTGTAAAAAAAAAAAAAAAAAAAAAAGTGACCATAAGAAAAAGGTGGTCCCACTGATGCTTGCTCCATAACTTCTGTGTTTAAGATGAAGTGCATGCTTCCAAGAACATTTTCACATTGACTTTTTTGAAGATTTTGATTTTTGTATTACATTGAAAGATGACTTGATTTCAGTGTTGACCTCAGTCATCCACCTGTGTATGAACACTTCACCTGATTTCCCACCAACGGATATATTTTCCCATTGTAGTCTTCACTATTATAAAAAGGCCTTGTTCTGCTTAAGCAATAGGTTGTTTGTTTAATAGATTCACACCCTCAGGGACTGGTTCTGATGATTCATTACCAAGTCATCCATTTAATCATCCCCTCTCCTCTTTCATTCTCTTAAGTGTACAGTTCCCTTACATAATGTTTCTCTTGCATTTCCTTTCCAGGTTACAACAAACCTCTTGAGAGATCGTGTAAGTGTTTTGCCAAACTCATTCCAGGGAAAGCTATCAAAGGAGTGGTGCACTCAGAAAAATAAGAGGGGAAGAGGTTCTTGAAGCGTGCTAGGATTGGGAATGTCTTTGAAAGTGAAGATAGCTTTCTGTATAGTAAGATCATAATCCTTCTCCCCTTTCATTACAGCTCTGAGTGTAACTACTGCACCAAACCCAACATCCAGGCATTTCACACTTAATTTCACCTTGACCAGCCTCCCGTACACTGCAGATCTGGATGTACCAAGTTCCCACAGCTTCATTTCCACAGTGGAAGTTATTAACCGTTATGTAAGTCTGGCTCTGGTTTTTCCTATTTTGTGTTAAGGCGGTGATCTTAATCTGCCTGCACTAAACTTTTTGGTTGGGTTTTTTTTAATAGATTGACCCTCTTTTCAAAAGAAGCAGCATTAGCTCTGCCTACACAGGATGTGAAGTGATGAGATTTAGGTAAGATTCCCAAAAGTGCAATTAACCATTTCTTTATCTGCTCTTATACACTTTAAGTTTGTATAAGTTATCATAGTTGTTTTGATGCCAGGAAATAGAAGCCAGTGAGATCTCCCTGTCCATGATTCTTGCTGGTAAAATAATTTTGGTATCTAAATATCATTGTCACAATTCTTGAGAGTTTGCTGAAAGATGTAGGCACCCAATTGCACTGACAGTTTTCAGTGCCTGTTGTTCCTAGTCATAGAAATTACACAAGGTGTTCTATAAGCATCAGCAATGTCCTAAAGAATGTGTCTGACATTTTTTACTTAGGTCTGGGAGAGACAGGAATGATACAGGTGTAGATGCTGTCTGCAGCTACAAAACCAATATCAGCCTTTCCAGCTTTGACAGAGAAAAGATTTATGATGAGCTGAGCAACATGACAAATGGTGTCACCACACTAGGGCACTACAGCCTGGAGAAGAACAGCCTGTACATCAATGGTAAGCATCCATGAACGGTATCAAGATATAGTTTTGGGATCACTTGGAGATCACTCCTCATTCTTCCACTCCACTGGGGCTTGAGTACTAGTGAACTTCACCTTTGGTTTGTAAGTATTCTGTAGGTTTTGACACTATGTCAAAACCAATCCAGCATGATTCAGCCATCGTAGCAACTCCATCCCATACATCATACAATTTCCTGGATAATTTCATTACATGCTATAATCTAAACAGGGACATAACTATATTGCTTTTGTGGTGTGGATAAATCCAATGTAAATATAAATACACTCTACCTTTTTCATTTAGGTTTCCATCTCACAGACACAGCTATCACCAGAAAGCCTGTCTTGACTGAAGGTCCAGCTAAACTGGGCTACAGACTGAGCTTTAGAATAGTCAATGAAAATCTAACTAACCCAGACCCTCAGTCTCCAGAATACAAAGCAGCAGCAGAAAGCATCAGTAACAAGGTAAGGAGCTGCAGCTCAAATACTGTCATGTCTGCACTGGTCAATTTTACAGCAACTGCTGTAGAATTATTTTTGAATTTGAAAATACCCAACAAAACTGGGATAAAAAAATTCTGAAATCTAAAAGAAAAGACTGTCCTTTCATTCACTTTTAATTTTTTATGTTACATGTGGTCTTAAGAAATTATGTCCAGCCAAAGACATGCACTACAAAATATAAGAGGTTTAGGCTATCTATTAAACACAGACGCACTCAGCATTTCAGTCCCATCTCTAGAAGTGTATAAAAATCGAAGCCAGCTGGTCAGCACATACATAAGCCATTGCTGAGAATCCAATACATTCTCTCAGCAACAAACTGCCCATATATCAACCCAATAAAGCCCTAATTAGGTAGGATTTGCTTTTTAGATAAAGTCATAACATTCCATACTTCCAGTTCCGAGTCTGCACTGTGAAATGTGGATCAAGATGACAGCTGTCAGTCAGTAGATTGTGCTGTTTAACATTGGCAGTTTGCTCATAAGACAGAAAGGCTTTCCAAGCTGGAAGTCAGACTCCATCACCAGAAGGCATATTCTTGAGCAAAAACCAACTTGAAATCCAACTAGCCCAAAAAAAAAAAAAAAAAATATTTGGTGTTTCTCCAATGTTAGAGTCTCTTCTGCTGCTGTAAAGCATCTACCAGAACTCATTAATATTTAACACAGCATTTTTATTTCAGATGAATCAACTATATCATCAGAGCAACCTGCGAGACCAGTTCCTGTACTGCAGTATCACAAAGCTGAGGTCTGTGATACAACCTGATTTTGTTTGAAAGGTTGCCACACCCTGGCACCATTCCCCAGTGGCCAAGTGCCATTGCCCTCTGCAGAATTCCTCCCCTCCATTCTCATGTTGGAAATGGTTTGGTTCATGCCCTAAGAAGTCATTTCCAGGCTTCCCAGAATTCATCAGTTTGAATTTTTCCTGACTTAGTATGGACTGACATTTTTCTAAGTCACAGTCAGGATTTCTGCGAGGCACTCTTAGGTCTCTGCATTAATTACCATCAGCAATCTTACCTCTTAATGACAACTGAATGGCAACCTTGCAACCTCTGCACTCTTCCTCCTGACTTGGACTCCACTAGGTTTTAAAAATGGGCTTCAGGTATAGCTGTAGTGTCATACTCTAGATGAAGAGAGGCTTGGACGAAGGACCCTCACACATGGTGAAAGCTTTTTTACAAAGGTGCTAATCATTCATGGTATGCATGCGGTATATAACCTGAGTTTGCAGACAGGTATAACCTGAGTTTGCAGACAGAAGGAGTAACAGTATTGCATTTGCTTTCCCTGACCAAAGGAAAAGCCCAAAGCAGTCTGTTCCACATCTCTCAATAGGACTACATTAGCTTAAAACACTTAACACTCAGAATAGCCAGAACCCTTCAGGAAACCCTTTCCCACATGAAGACATAAAGAAGTTTTATGATCAGCCTATTTATCTCAGAACTTCTGTTCCTCTGTCCACAGGACTGGATCCATAGTGGTTGACTGCAAGTGCTTCTTCCAGCCAGAGCCCGGCATCAACAGGGCTGTGGTTGAAAGGGCTTTTCAGGACAGCACTTCAAATGCAACTGGACAGTGGCTCGGAAGCAGTTACCAGCTGCAAGGATTCTCAGTGGACAGTATGTAGAGCTCAAATCCCAGCTGCCCGGTTTCCACCCAGATCAACCTACTTTGCTGTGGCATGCTCAGCATTCCCCAACTTCTGGTCACTCAGAGGGGATGTGTGTGGAAATAAGTCTGTTATCAAGTTGAATCACTGAACTTGGAACAGAGTTGGGCCAGTTCTTTGCCACATTCAGTCTAGCTCAGCGTGGCCCTTTAGTCCTCAATGGCTTAAAGTGTTACTCGTTATTAAATAATAAGATAACAAAGTGGTGAGTATTCACCATAATTTCCCAAAGCATTTAGAAATAAACAGACTTTTAAGTTTTTTTCAAACATACAACTTCCCAAAGCAATGAGTCACCTAGTACACTGCTGAAGAACTCAAAGGGTAGACTGGGAATTTGCTGTCAGACCCCAGCACAGCTCAAGTTCTATTAATTATTAAGACTTCAAGTTTTTCTAGCTGGAAGTCTGCAGGTCAATGCTGCTTGGCAGAAGTGCCTCTGTTCCTCTCTGCTAGAATTTATACCAACTTTCCCTCTCATTTTCCAGGCTTGGAACTAGCGATTGAGGCAGCGACTTACAAAACACCCCTCAAGTCTGGGAAAGAAAACTTCAGATTAAATTTCAGAATCTCCAACCTTCCCTACTCCCCAGAACTGCAGGACTCCAGGTCACAAATGTACCAAGTGAACAAAGAGAAAATTGAGAAAGGGGTAAAACTAACACCAATAGCTTGATCTCCATGTCCAAATTAAGGATGTTTTAAATTTACTATATTTTCCACAATTGTTTTGTTTCTTCCCATCAGCTTGACATATTCAGAACTAGCAGCCTGAAGAACTACTTTGCTGGATGTACTGTTGAGAGCTTTGGGTATGTCCTCCTTCAGAAGTGCTTTTTCTTGAACCCCAAAAGAGCAGTGAGCAGAAAAGGCATCCAGAGCCATAAAACATGCTGTTTATGCCTCACTGCCAACCTTTGTGCTCTGGCTGACACACAGGAGGCACCTTCATTCACTCAGTCAGTTTTGCCTTTACCACAAGAGGTTTCTGTCCAAATGAGAGATGGTTTTGTTTCCATGCTAGAAAAGCGATTTTCATGGGCAAACAATTCTTAAGACAAGTATGTTCATTCAATCATTGAGCTTATTCAAATAAACTAAAACTCCACAGAAGCACATTAGTAAAACAATCACCACAACCAACCAGCCTGACAACAAAATCTATTTCCCTGTGTCTTCTGCAACATTTCTTTGGAGGAACAAAAAAAAGCTGAGCAGATTTACCTCTTGGCAATGCCTTGCCTGGGATTAAATCAGTGGGTGAGTTTCACATACTAGATGAGACAGGAATTCATGCAGCCTTAAACTGCAAAAACTTATCCCATGCTAAAAATACATTGCCTAGACATCTGCAGACCTGAGCCCGATTCTGAATCTCCCTCCCTTCCTCTACTTGGCTCTGCTTCTTTTGCTCTTGTCCTGTAATGACAGCTCTGATTCTTATTCTCCAGGCCTGTCCATGGGAAAGCTTACACAAACGTTACCTCCATCTGCAAATTCACACTGGAACCCTTCCCACAGACTTTACAAAAGCAAGATGTGTACGAAGAGCTGAAACGCCTGCTGCATGGGTTCACCAAGCTGGGCCCCAGCTATGAGCTAGAAGATCAGAGTCTGACTGTTGAAGGTGAGAGCTCAGATGACTTGGTGGGAATGTTTATTGGTTTTGCTTTAATCAACCCCAGAAGTGCTCCGTTTCTCACCCATCCCACCCTTTATTTCCAGGTTACCCTCCACTCAAAACAGATGAACAGGAGTCTGAAACATCAAGTAAGTGCTTTTCATGAGGGATTCACCCTACAGCCACTTGAACTACAGTAAATTGGTGTTACATACTGTGAAACGAAGACTAGAGCTGTGCGAGAGCCAAGAAATCTAGGATGCTTGATAGGCTGGCAGCAAACAGCAGGGTCCATCAGAGCCAGACAGCCTGAAGAAAATGGAAGTGAAGGACAGGCAAAAGCAATGCAATCTGGCAAGCAGTTTTGGAGCTCTGACACCAGTAAATGTTGATAATTGTAGGATTAAAAAAAAAAAAAATCCAGATAGTGTTGTGGGCACAGCCACAACCTCAGAACTAACAGTAAACAGGGAAAAACAGTCTGAACTGTTGCTTTTCCATGCACCACAAACATGATGGTAAAAGTAACTACAGCTTTTGCTGACACCCTTAGCCCTGTCCCATCCCCCGGAGTGCAAACAGTAGTTAAGAGGACTTTGTCTCTCTGAACATCCCTGAAACCATCTCAGGGCTCTGACACCCAGGTGGCACTTAAACTTGTAGGTCCTTGGAACCTCACTTCATTTTACCAAAGTTTCTTACATCCCCTCCATCTTCACATTGCTGGAGCATGTTTGCCCTGCAGCCAGGGAAGGCCAGATACTGCCTGTCAGCAATTTTGCCTCACCTATGCACTGTACAGTACTTTTGAACCTTACCAGGGCAAGATCTCCCTCTCTGTTCCATGTTCAGGACCCAAAAAACCTGATGTGCCCTTATTTTGCCTTTACAGAGCTTCAGTTCTGGGCAATTATCCTCATCTGCATATTCGCCCTGCTTGGCTTCATTCTCCTCATCTTGTTATGCTTCCTGGTAAGTGGTCCCTTTGCTCTCCTACCCCTAACTTGACCATGGCATTACCCGTCTTCTGGGGAAGTGCAGGAGGGACAGTCAATGACATGTTAACGTCACAGGGAGCAGTATCCAACATGGTAACAGCAAGGGGCATGCCAAGGCCTCCTTCAGTCGCTACCAAGTCTTTCAAGCACTTGCACACAGGAGTATGGGGAAGGGTATTTAATTAGATTCCTAAAATGGAAGCAGTGTATCACAAACAAGAGAGTCCTTTGCAAGGAAAAAAACCCACAAAACCAAAGCTAAGGCAAACGCCAAAATGACAAGTAGGTTGAATTAGGGGATCTCCTGCAGCATTTCTTAAACCTCTTCCCTGTTCAAATAGGTTACAGATAGGGAAGTGTGGAAGATGACATTTTTTAATAACCTGCAGGAACTGCATCAAGAATTCTGTATTCAGTGCCCGTAGCATACAGACCGTAGCAGCCTTGCAGGGCCATACTCCAGCTGCATACCTTTAAGAAGAGCAGCATTTTAATAGCACTGTTTCAAAAGCAGCTGTTTTGCTTTGCATCAGGTAGAAGAGAATAAGTCTACAGAGAACATGGATTACTGTCCTTGGAGATTCAGGAGTAAAAATTACAGTCAGCAAGGTTTAGAAGAGGAAAAACCTCAGATTCAAAACTGGGGCCTGTGCTAGGGTCTACCTATGCATTCAGAGTCCCTCCAACCCAACCCAGCAACAGGGTTTGGGGCATCTAATGAAGATCAAAGTTCAGACTTGGGGTTTTTCCATTAACATTGTTCTCTTTCCCATCAGGTTGTCTTTTGCCTAAGAAGAAAGTCACATCTATACCAGGTTCAACAGAGCATGTACGGGGTGTACTTCCCACATCTGAACACGAGAAAAGTGCATTGACATAACAGATGAAGTCTGTCTTCAGACTTGTTCGTCCATTGATGAAGGAAAATCATGTTTACGAGTACTAGAAAAATATTTCTTTAATAAATTATGTTTAGCATTTTCTCTTGTCTTGCGGCAAATCTTTGCACTATTACCACAACTATTTTCCTACTATGGGAAACTGCCAACAATGCAGTTGCTGAGGAAAACTTTTTTTAAAGCACTGCAGTATTTTATACAAGTATTACACAACAAACAGAAAATAAAGACTACCAGGAACTGCAGTTTGCAAGGCTCTTCAGTGTTAATGTCAGTTTTCTGGAAAAGGCTTAAAATTATACTGATTTGTAGATTCTGGGGAGGGCTGACTATTGTACACCTAAAAATTTCACCTAGATTTTAGCTTTCTCCCAATTTATCTTTTCAAATGTGTCTTAAACTGATGGAAACATTTCATATATTTAAAGTGCAAAGAGATTATGTAAAGTTACATTGTTAAGAGAGTGTGATACAGTCACCCTGTGTCTTCTGAGATCGATACTGATTTCAGTTAAATAAATGCCATGTTCATTGCCATGAAACTATTGCCTTGATTTACCTCTGTAGTGACACTTTTTATCCCAGATCAGAAAATAATTTTGTCGTACTGAAATCCCTGAGCTTTTGCTCCTCGCTTGTCTTGTTCAGCCCATAGCACAGAGTCTGATGTTACAGAGATCAGGACCTTTTCCCGCCCTTCCAGACCACCTGAGCCAGCCAGACTTGCCTGAAAATGCCTGTTGTGTGCCTCCGTTTTCTGCAGAGCACAGGAGATGGTGCTGATCTCTAGGTAATTATTTGATACTATCATTAGATGAACTCTCTGCTGAAAGTGAAAGCGCTAGTATTAGACTTAATGAAACCATGATTAGTCATTAATCCTTCCACTGCAGGCAATGTTTCCACACAATCAACTGGCTCTTTACTTTCAAAGTAAAGCTCGTCAGTGGCAGGTTGGACCAGTTCATCTCCCAGGTTATGTTCTTCAGTGCGGAGTGGAGTTTCCTATGCAGAGGATTAGAAACCTGTTTGCTCAATCAAAAGTTTTCAAGCACCCAATGTTATGTCAGCAACATCAGATTAAAAGCTTTCACAGATGCTTGCAAAAGATCTTTGCAGGTTTCCATGACACCCAGGTGCCCTCGCTGCAACAGCAGCTGCATGGCAGAAGCACAGTGAGCAGAAAGGACTTCCCAGCTGGGGTTTTGGCAGCAGGCACTCAAGAAAAGCTGCATGACAGAGCAGGGCTGGTAGGGTCCAGCTGTTGGAGCACCAGCTCCTGACTTGGCAGGCCGGGGCAACCCTCTGAATCTTCAGCCAGCTGTCCCTGCTGCACCTACCTTAACATTGGTATCCCCCAGAGCCCTGCTCTCCTTTTACCATGGAGCCCTGTCTCTTACTTTCAAAGAGATGAGTGATACTAATGACGGCACCGTGCAGGGTGTGGAGATGTGGCAGCTGGAATGTGCTGGGAAAGGAAGATGCTGTTTTGTGGAGCTGTTTCCTGGAGGTTTTGGATTTTCTTTTACACCATGGCCACAGAGGAGCTGCCTCTCAGCAGCATGAGCCACACTACCACCACTACCTCCTCCCCCAGGCTCTCCCCACAGGTTTGCTGGGAACAGGAGGAGAAGCCCAGCACACATTGCAGAGCACAGACCAGCAGTCCCTGCACTGGCACTGCTGCCCTGTCCATCCTGGGGAAAACAGGAAGACAGAAAATACAGTGGTTTTCCCAGGGAGCTCTGGGCACGCACCCTAAGCCGCAGGACAAACCTGAGAGCTGGGGAGGGCAGATTTGTGTTTGCTCCTTAGGAAGGTACGCATAGCTAATATAACTTAAAAAAGCTTTAGCTCAGGGTCAGCACAGTAGCACCCAGCTCGGCCCAACCTGCTTGCAGGGGCTTTAAAGAGCCAAGACAACCATCCCAGCAATACCCCATTTCCTAAGGGGCTGTTGCAAACGTCTTTCTGCAGAACCAGCTGCAGCCACACATGCCAAGCACTCCCTCTCCCTGGCACAGCCACCAGTGCTCACTGGTAGACCAGGATGTGCCACGAACGTCCAACCCCACACACCTTTGCCACCATGGGCAACCCCAGCCCTGAGACCACGGGCAGTGGAGTCAAGCCCCAGCCCTGCCAGATGGTTTCCCATAGCCGACCCCCAAAACTGAAGTTGAAACACACTGAGGAAGGGGCACCAAGACAACTGAGAGGTAAAACAGGGCTGAGGAGCTGAGAAAGAGGCAGCGTCTTGCATGGCCAACTCGAGCACGCTATGGGAGTGCCTGGTGCCCATGAGCCTCCTTGTGGGGCTGCTTTCCAAGAGGAAGGAGCCCTCACATACCACGGTGCCTCTCAGCATCCCCTATACCATGTCACAATGTGCTTCATATTATGGTTGGACATATGCCCATGTTTGCTATGGAGCTGCTTTTTCCAAACAGAGGCCCCTGGCAAGGCTGCTGGGGCCAGGCCAGCTTAGCAGTGACGCAGGTGGCTCAGCTTCTGATGTGGTGACCTGGCCCCAGTCAGGGATTAGGGTTGGGGAAGGGCAGAGCAAGCAGGCAAAAAAGCTCAGCTTGACATCAGGGATCTGCCCTGAACCTGGTTCCCTCCACATTTGCCTGCACCACCACCCTCCATGGTTGCTTTCCCCCAGCACAATTTTTGGCCTCCTACTGCCTCTACTTTCCCCTTGCACTGCAGACACACCGAGGCTGTTCGTCAGCATTTCTGTCCTTGTCTTCATGCAGCTCAGCCTAACATCCCCACTGCTACCAGTGTGTAAACTGGCATCTGGCAGCACCCGGTCACCCCTTTTCCCAGCATGAGGCTAGGTGGACCTGGCTGAACTGCCTTGGTAATTGCTGCTTAGTAAGAGATGGAGACAGTTTGTCAGTCTCCTTTTTCAGTTCTTTGAACATTTTCGTGCTGAACACTGGAAACAAGCCTGAACTGCAGCGATAAAAGATTCAGCTGCTTCTCATCATTCTCCCCAGCAATTCCTATTCAATTTGGCTCTTCTAGATAGGAAAATGCTCCATCTGTTTTGGAAGCAATCAAAAAGCCCTTTGTGTCACAAGGGCACACATTCAGACACCTCTTTAATACCCATTTCTCAACATCGACCCAGCACCATTTCCCAACGGTAGAACTGCATCCTGTTTCACCTTTGACAGAGAGAACCTGAACAACCTGAGCTGCCTTGTCCAGAGCAGGATCCAGACAACCCACCGATGCACAGACAGCGATAGCTCCGGGCCCCAGCTTCACTGCTGGGATTTTTAGCTCCATAGGCATGGAGACATCCTTTCTGCTCATCTCCCTCATTGCTTCATCACTAAGTGCATCTCATCAGCCCTTCTCCTGCCCTCCTCCATTGGAGACATTAGCCTGTAGCATCCAGGAGAGCCACACTGCACCCAACCAGGAATTTAATTTGTGAAATAGTTGCTTTAGCAGGAGCAAAAGCTTTATTTCATCAGCACCACAACTGCTTAATTTTGTTTCCCTACCACCAACCTGCATTAAGCAAATACAAATTTCCCCCTGAGACACTGTTGGGCCTCTTTCCTCTGCACAAGGATGCCTGCTCTTCTCCAGTAAAATGCACCAGATTTACGGGCAGGAGGAGAAAGAAAATTAGGAAAATGTATTTTTATGCTTCAGCTTGCAGTTTGCCCAATGCATCAAGAAGGAGCATCGAGGCGATGCAATGCAGTGTTTCATCAGCTCTTGTGCCCACAGCGCAGCCCAGTGTCCTCCACTCTGCTGAAGCCTCCTGGTACAAAAGCAAGACAGGCAGCAGCTCCATCATGCAGCCATCCAGCCCTGCTCACCTGTATGTTATTTAAACAGCCCATAGGGAAACAGCCCCAAGGGAAACCGCCCCACACTCTATCGGAGCAGCACCACAATGCCCATCTTGAGCAGAGGTAACCGCCGGCGGGCCCAGGCTGCATGGTGCCAGCTGGCCCATCGAGGGCTGTCACCTCTGAAGAGGGTTAAGCAGGATTTTACAAGTGATGAGCCCTGCAGGAAACAAGGAACTGTTTTCCTTGGGTGTATGTAACCACAGCTACAACGGAGCAGCTCTCGGCACACTATACCCAGTGAGGGATCCCCTGGGGTGCTGGCTTCTGGCCAAACAGCATTACAAGAAATGACAACAACAACAAAAAAAAAAAAAGGCCAAAAAGCAGACCACAAAACCCCCCAGGACACATGAGCCAGCGTTAGGCAGCACCATTCACGTTTCCACCACGCTCCTGCCAACAAGCCGATGATAACATCGAACACCATGGCATTGCTAAATATGCTCGGGTGACAGGCAGAAAATCCCCTGCCACAGGGGCCAGGGGTGCCTCCCCACTCCCTTTAACCACCACTTTCCTGTTGATCTCACTGGCTCCAAAGAACCTCACCGCAGTCCAGGATCTCGACACTAGCACTAAATCCATGTTTCATGCAAGACTAAGCAAAGAGCCCAACATGCCACACTGCAGATACTGCCCCAGATCCCAGGAGTGTTTTCTACACCTGCAGCAACACCCCAGTGTCTGCCACCAATCTGTTATTCAGAGGTGCCAGGCTATGCAGCGGAGGGCACAATTCCCTTCACATCTCCAGCTTTTTGGGGAAGGCACCATTTTGCTGGAAGAAAATGCCTGTGGGGACAAAGGAGCTTCACAGGACAGAGACAGAGCAGCCCAATCCTGATGGCAAAGTGGAGCAGGGAGGTGGGATGTTTGCTCAGGACCTCCCACAGCAAGGCAGGTCTTTTCTTTTGGGGGAAGACCAGAGGTCAGGCAGGATGGCCTGACGAGATCCCAGGACACACAGTAGAGAGGCAGGACTCACTACCACCACCTCAGACGCTGCTCATGTCACAGTTCCCTTTGTCAATTATTCCGCCCAAACCCACTCAGGGGGATCAGCCGCACAGGTTGTGTTTCCCCTGGCAGGGGGTTGTAGTTTAACCTCGGTAACAATTAAATATCACTCACTCACCTCCCCCCCTCATCCAGTGGAGGAGACGAATCAGGGGCAAAGACAAGGAAGCTTGTGGATTGAGATGAGAACTATTTAATAATTGAGTATAAATGAATAAAATAGTGATGTTAATAATATTAACAATACTACTAATAATAGGTAAAAGTTTAAAAAAGAGAAAATAAAGCAATTATACAATTGCTCACCACCAGCCGACCAATGCACAGCCAGGTCCCGAGTAGCAAGAGTCCAAGCCAGAGAGCAGGAACCCAAGAGTGATGGTAGCAGAGTCCGAGTGAGCCCCACAAGAGAGAGAGCAAGCCAGAGAGACAACTGACCCACCCAATAATGAATGAACAAAATGAACAACTATGGGCCCCTAGCCAACCCCTGACTTACATCCCATCCATGACATACTATGGAATGAAATACTCTTTCAGCAAGTTTGGGTCAGCTGCCTGACCTGTGTGTCCCCCACTGCCTATAGTGAGAGCACTGGGAATGCAGCTGCAGTATCAGAAGCTGAAAAGACCTTGAATCTGTACAAGCATTCCCCAGCACCAACTAAAAAACTCCTTCAGCACTCTTCTCAGGGCAAATCCAAAACATAACCTCCTACCAGCCACTGTGAAGAAAATGAACTGTCCTGAATAAAATGAGCACAGGGGTAGCGTACTGCTGCCCAGCTCTAAGAGTCCATAGGATGAGGTTTCCCCAAACCAGCAACCAGGAAGACCTAGGAGCAGGGACTCACCTCCCGATGGCTGCACTGCTCAAATGTCACTAGAAACCGCACAGGCCTGGGTTCTGTAATCACCACCTCCTCTAACACTTCCAGCTTCTCCTTGAGTGAAGAAATGGAATTGAAAACAGCAGCAGTGGTGATTGAGAAGGGCACTAGGAGCTGTAAGTTAGGATTTTCTTGACAGCAGACACCCACAGCTGAAATCAACACGCTGGTGGGCTGCCCTTAGCATGGCCCCCCAGGGTTGGGAGAAGACAAATCTGAGGTTTTTCATTGGATAGGAAAGTTTGCTTTACCCTGACACCAAAATTATTGAGCCAATGCAGAATGGCACCACCAACATCAATTGGGAAGCAGACAAAACTCCATGGCATGGCAGCATCTGCTTGAACATGAGCTTCAAGCCCACACTGCTCATCACTGAGCCCCCACTCCACCCTACCACCCACTGAGAGAAGGTGGCAGAGGGGGTGTTTGAGTCACAGGGCTCCCCTGGCCTCTTTGATTGCACCAGCCTGCTCTCTGTCCATGGCAGAACCAGCAGACTGGTGACAGATACCAGCTATACAGTCAGCCATGCCAGTCCATGGGGGCTACAGCTTGACATGTGCCACTGAGGATGGACCTGTCAGGGTCATGCCTCTCTTGGTACCTAATCACACTTTTGGGGGACACAGGGTACACACTCAGCAACAATAAGTGGAGGATATCATGCACAACTGCTGTCACATTGCTTCCAAGAGCGAGTACCAGCTTCCACCAGTCAGCTGCACTCTGGTTTTCCCCTGCCTGATGGCCAGACCACCAGACCCAGCAAAGAGAGGCTTCAATGCCCAGAAGTGCTCTTTCACTCCGTGCTAAAGTGGGGTACTTCCTGTGTGAGCATCCACAGGATGCCCTGGAGAAGCTTCGACCAACTCGCAGAAGAAGTCAGGTCAGTGTACAAAAGCATCCTCCTGTGCAGAAGGGTCTCTGTCTTTGAGAGGCTGGAGAGGAATCCTGCAAAGCCTGGCCCCCAGCACCAAGATCAGGGTGGCTGCCACACCACTGCAGAGGTTCTCAGCAAGGACCTCCCTCAAGAGCTTCCAGAGGTGGTGGATCTGAAGGGGAAGTATGATGAAGAGGGGCCACCCATTATCCACCAGAGATGCTACGGAGGGGACACCCACACCAGGCCCAGGGAGCAGTTACAGGCCAAAGAGCAGAAAGCAGCAATAAATGATTTTGTGATATCAGGTGCCATCTCCTCCCCAGCTGAGGGCTGTTTGGGTAAAAAACCATACTCCAGCTACAGAGATGAAGCCAAAAGATGCTGTTTTCAGGGAGACGAGACACGACACGACGCGACACTCACCACCAGCCCATAGCAAAAGCTCAGAAGTAATGCTGAAACCCTACACTAAGCTATCCAACCCCCTCCCACCCCTCTGGGTTTTATAGGGTTGAGGATTTATGCGCTGCATCTGCAGTTCCTCCACCACCTTCACAGCTCCTCAGGACTCGATCGCTCTCAGCTGTGATCCCCAGCAGGGAATCCAGAGCATTCCCCAGCACTGGGGCTGGGAGTCAGCTCACGGGTGGGAGAGGCTAAATTCCTCACAGCTCTATTGTGTATCAAGGACAAGAGCTGCCTATTGCCTACTGGGCATGGGGGACCTGCGCCCACATTTGTCTTCCTGTCCCAGTCCTATTTCTTCTTCAGCCCCAAGATCTTTATTTCCCTCAAAGAGCCCTCATTTAATGCATTCCACTGGGCAGAGTTCAGGGCACTGCAGCAGGATTAATCTCTGATCTTGAACAGCAACAGATTTAATTTCCTTGTAATGCAGTGCAGGTGTCTGCGTCCCGCTCCAGCACTGAGAACACACACGGGCTGGGGCTGTCTTGGACCCCTGCAGCCGTTGCCTGTGAACACCAACACCTGCACACAAGGGATTTGCTCACTGCAGAGCAGAGCAGGAGCCATGGAAAATATCACAGTGTCAAGCTCAGTACCAAACCCTCCCTCAGACAATCCCCAGAAGAATTCATGCCAAATTTAACTAACTTTTGAGAAACTCCCCCAGACCTTTTGAAGCTGACACAGGGGTTGGTGGATGGGACGTGGGATGCTGCAGGGATGCAGGAAGGACTTTACAGGGACACTGCAATGACACAAAGTGGATGCTGCAGGGGTGTGGGAGGGATGCAGAAGGGATGCCACAAGGATGCTGCAGGGATGTAGAGGGGATGTTGTAGGGATGCAGGAGGCATCTTGCAGGACACTTTCCCACGGCTCTCTGACAAGCAAAGAGTGTTTGGCTCTCAAATTGACTCAAACTAGCCACTTCATTTCCCCTGAAACTTTCCGGAGAAAACAAGTTCTTATCTCACTACAAAGCCAGCCCGCAGATGCTGGGCTGCCTGGGACGAACAAGCAGCTCTTGTAAGTCAGCAGCGCCACTTCCAGCCCGGACAACTGCTGCCTGCTGTTCCCCAGGGATACGCTCGAGGACGGGGCTGAGCTGTTGGCACTATATGCCCGGTGCAGCTGCAAACCACTGTCTTGTGTCCTGCGGAGCAAAGAGTTCAAATGTGTTTCCTGTGAGCTGAAAGGGGAAACATAGGGGGACCAGGCACAACCCAGTGGGGTTATCTGCATCCCTGGTATCAGCAGAAAAGTCAAGCACTTGTCTTTCCGCCTAGACCTTTTTCTGTTAAAGTTTCAACCGAGAGACAGGACTCTAATTCTGAATTTGGTTTAACGTTGCGGTGAGCGCAGCTCTCTGAGCGGATACTGCTGTGGCCCACAAAACAGCTGGCACATCTGCAGCATTTATAGTGGAGTAAATCCCCCCTCCTTCTCCTTCTGCTTAGCAAAAAGCCAAAGCAACAGCTTCTCTCCTAGCACAGCTGAAGGTGGTGGAGAGGAGAAAAGAAGTGGAGACCAGCTCCTTTCTCCTGCCTCTGCCCACACAGTGAAACCCTGCGATGCCCACCAGTGCTCTGGAGGCAGCTCCTCTGCTCACTCCACGATGTCCTCTGTGGAAACTGGGCACTTGCCATCACGGGCATCCACTCGTCCAACCTTGTTCCCTGCCAGCACGGCACAGAGCACAGCCACCATGCAGGAAGAAATTGCTCGGCAGTTAATCAGAAACCTCTGTCCCCCTTTTATTCTCCCAGCGGTACTTTCTGCCACTCATCAGCTTTTTCCCGTGAAGGAGGATGTCTCCTTTCATTGGTTTGAGTGTTACGGAACAGGCTCCATGGCAGCAGTGATGGCACAGGGGTTTTTGGCAAGAGTGTGAATTAAAGCACTGTCAGAGCCCTCCTGGACCCCAGCCATCCTGCCCACCCTGCACCAGCATTGGGGAAGCTCCCGTGTTAAAATCTGACTTTCCCTGAGCCCCAGAAACTGCTGCCTGCCGATGCTCTGTGAGGCCCAGGGTGGCAGAGCCCCTGCGCATCAATGGCCCCGCTGCATTTGTTAGATGGGCAAAGTTACTGGTGAATTTGGGGCGTGTCTGGGAGACTGTCACAGCCCAGTGGGATGCCAAGGACTGGTGCTCATTTCTGAGGTACTGGCTCTTTGGAATTGGGGGCCACCTCATCCAGGGAGCACTGGACTCAACTTTTTTATGCCAAAGGGATTGGTGCAGCTCAGAGACGGCAGCGGCTCCCAGGTTACCTCCGAGTCCTTTTTGGTGATACAAAGCAAATGTGTCATGAACAAATCACCCTTCAGAACATCACAGGCTCAGGTCCTGGAGGGAACTGGGCTGGTGCCGGAGCCCTGTACTACACTGTTGCAGCAACATGCCAGGACCGCACGCACGTATTTTAGAGACATGCAAAACCCTCTCATCTGCACGTCTCAGCAAAGTAAGAGACCAGAAAGACAGGGATGGTATGATTTTCAAGTTAGTCAAAACACCGCAGTACTTTAATGGAAAGTATTTTTCTGCCGTAATCTCATTCTCATGCTGTGCCAGGTTTTTCTTGCTGTATTAAAGAAACGCAACAAGTGTGGGAGGTGTGAACTAATGCTGCTGCACTGGGAAGGTGGTGACGACCTGAGATCTCACGATGATGTTCATCAGACTCCCTACTCAACAGGGGTGTGAGCAAGTACAGTGGAAAAAAAGGGTCATAATCGGTCTTTAAGACAAAAACCAAACCAAATAGCTGTGAGACAACTTCATCAGCAAATGCTATTTAGGAGCACAGACGTTCATCTCCTCTCTCCCAGGGCAAGTGTTAACCTTTAAACACAGCCTTTCCGCTCCCTTCCCTTTCACTCATATGTTTTCTCTTCCACCTGCTCCCCACTTGCCACAGTCACTTGTGTTCCCCCACGGAGAGCCCACAGCTGTCATGTGCCACTGTGCCACAATGCACCAAGAGCTGCTCCGTCCCCACCCTCCAACGCCCAGTCCCCATGCATCCCTGGGCTTTGAGCCAACAGCTGGTGTTATTTCTCCCTGTGATTTGCACACATCCAGGCCTTGGGCATAAGCCTCTTGTCATTCCTGGGCCAGCTCTACCAGGGAGGTGGCTGGAGCTGAACCTCCCCAGGGCTCATGCAAATGGGGGCTGGCCACGAGTATCAATCTGGGGTTTGCTGCAGGCGGCTGTCCTGGTGTTACATGCTCTGGCATGCATGGAGCTACAAGCCTCCCTGCTTGGAAAGGTTTTTCCCAGCTGCAGGAGAGCCATGCTGGCATGGTGGTCCTGGTGCTGAGCCCAGCAGGAAGTTTCTTCAGGAAAAGTGACTCCCATCCCTGCCACCAGCTTCGAGGGCAAGAACAAGAGCTCAAGCGATGACGTGGAGCCTTGCGTGGGAGATGGCAGGGGAAATGCACCTCGTTCCATTCCCCAGAGCATCTCATGCTCATGGGCAGTGAGTGGCAACAGCCTTGCAAGGGGAAGGAGCACTGAGTGCTACAACTTGCTTTAGCAAGGGCAGGTGCCTTGGGGAGGTGTAGAAAGATCCCTGAGATGTGGAATAGTTATGCGACTTCTTGCTCACAACCTGCCAGCACTTCCCGAGGGAGCACCACCAGGTGGGGAGGGGGCTTCACAAGCCCCCGAGATGGGGAGGCATCACTGTGACTGCATGCAGAGCAGCTCCCCCATCCTCTGACTTCTCTGCTCTGGGCACCTGGCTCCTGTTTATTTGCTTTTAAAAACAAGAGGCTTTTCTTATCAAACTGCCTTTTAACTTCCGAAGTTGCAGTCACTGCTTCCAAGGCGATAAGGATAGAAATAGCTTTTTTCTGATAAAAGTGACTCTGAGTCATTAAGAGTGTCCGACTACTGCTCTAGTGCCAAGTACTGTCAGAAAATCAGGAGAGGAAACTGCTCGTGCTGCTGACTATGAGGCAGCTGGAGCAACTCAGCTCTCGGCACTCGTCACCAAAAGTCCCCAGAGATGCCCGTGTCCCACCCATGAGCAATAAAGCCTATCCCCAAGTCTTCAGGATCTGGGCTGAAAAGATTATTAGAAACCTAAATAACTTAAACCTTACAGCTTTCTGTATCCACATTTCATAGCCCCAAAGAGGACAGAGTATTTTTTGCACCCCAAATCCTGCTCAGCTTCTTTAACTTTCTCAGCAAAGGCTAAACAGCCAGGCCTTGCAGGTGGGACCTTGGTTTGGATTTAGACTAATAAATAAGAAACAACCCGCTGTGAGTTTACCAGAGGTGAATTCCACAATTCCCCAGGCAATGTCCAAGCTGTGGGCAGATGGTCAGAGCAAGATGCCCTGTCTGCCATCTCTGTGCCCCCCATGGTGCAGCTGCACTCTTCATCCTCTGCATCCCTGGAATATTGACAACATCCTTCACCCACCAAGGCAAATGTCAGATTTTAAATGAAGTCTCAGAAATTCTACCCAGTTCAGTAGGGAGAGTCCCTGCTACCACAGTTAGGGGCTCAGGAGCTTTGAACCCAGTGGACTTTTTCTGTGGTTGTGCTGCGCCCATAATTAATCATCTTGTAACAAATATGTGACCACCTGGGACTCCATAGTTGCTCTTCTAACTGTGTGGTTATTCAGAATTTCAGAGCCACAGTGGGGTTAAAACACAAGTCCCCTGCTTCACTTTCACAGCAACCTGGGGCACAAGCTGTGGGCAGACACCTATGAGAGCAGATCACGCTTAAACCTCACAGTGGTGTTCATCAAAAAGGATTTGTTTTCTTGTTTCTTCTGGGCATAAAATAAATTATACAATAGCATCTTCTATTCCCTTCTGAATTTTGTCTGTTGCTGTTCCTTTTTCTCCTTATTTTCAAGCTTTTTTATTCCTACTACCTACAAATGTTGAGCAATTTAAATAAAATTTAAACCTTTGACATTTGACAGGGAGGGTGGGAAAT